AAGGTACAGATGATGTTCCCTTCACACAGACAGCTACGCCAGCTCTCACGTGGCCAGCCACTAGTGACTCCCTTTCTCTTCTCTTCCAGAAACAGGCTAAAGCATGGCCCTCGGCAGGCCACGCTGCAGGCACACTTCGGACAGAATAAGTGGATGTTGGCTCTAAACCCTGTTGAATCATTCTCCCCTTTTTTCAATTTCAACTGTGGTTCTCATGGCAAAACTGCCAAAAGTCAAGGCTTATGGAACACAGAGGACATGATGACACTGTAGCACAGGCTTCTGGTAATGTGGTCCTCTCCGCACCTCTGGGCCCTGTTCCAATGTGTTCTCCTTCACCCTACTTTCCAGCTTCTTTTAAGTGGTCAACTGCGTACTTGGAGCATCCTAATCTGCACTGTGAGGTTTCTCTGATAGTGCAGTGGAGGTTACCACTGCACTAAGGTAATGCCTGTGTCACTTTGTTGTGCACAGGTCTTCACATAGATGTGCAAATATTTCCTAGAAATTATTCTCCCGATATCATTTTTTTTTTTTTTTTATTGTTACCGGGGATTGAACTCATGACCACCTGCTTGCAAGGCAGGTGCTTGCGCCGCTGAGCTAAATCCCCAGCCCATCATTTGTTTTTTTTTTGTCTGGCATTTTCCTCACTACAAAAGCTCTTGTTAGCTGGGTGTGGTGGCTCACACCTGTAATCCCAGCACTCAGGAGGCTAAGGCAGGAGGATTGCTTCGGGTTCAAGACCAGCCTGGGCTACAAAATGAGCTCAAGACCAGCTTGAACTACACAATGAGAGCCTGTATCACAAAGACAAAAAACAAAAAGAAAAAAACCTTCTTGTTTTAGGATATATACATATATGCCTCAGGTAATTTCTTTAGTTGAAATTTACTCCGGGTAAAGTTTTTGTTTGGTGTTTTCTTTCTTAGTTAAGGAGCTTGGGTAACACAATCACTATTATTACTCCTCATCTGCTATTCATCGAAACCCAAGACCACATTCCCGAGTGCTTCCCTAGGTTCTTCTAGATGAAGTCCTGTGCCTGGCCCACACTTTCCCTGCTTTCATAGCACCTCAGTGTCACTTTCTTAACAAGAACTTCCCTGGAGTTGCAGATCACTCTGCATGTCCCTAAAATATGTTCAATCAGCTCTTCTGAGTAGCACCTATACACATTGTAATTTTATAAGCCAAGGTTTCCTGTCAGATGTCCCTTTTTGAGTGAAAAATGAAAAAGCACATGGCATAAACTGGTATTATACTTTTACTGTAATCCTAACACACACTAATTAGTACCCAGATTTGATTACAGATAATTTTTAAAGGTATCAGGGCCTCTATCTCATCTCCCATGGAGAAGTAAAACCAAAAAATACTTTGTCAAAAAATGTCTGTATCTGTACTGAGATTTCAGTATAGCAACATAACATCATGGAAAGGATAGCTTGGAATAAAGTGTTTTGTGGTAAAATTATAGTCAGGGTATATTAAATATTAATATGATCAATATATGCTCCACAATTGTTTTGGAAACAGCTCAGGGGCAATATAAAACCAGGGGCAGTCTAAAACCTTAGGATTAGTGGTACTTGTTTTCAACTTCCTACTTTAAAATTGTGTTGATGTAACAAAGGTGTAGAACATACGGATGAAAGAACATGGATGCAGAACAACAGCATAAAACTTTCTAATGTCAGAAACACAATTTATAAAGTACATTTATTTGACTTTATGTTAGAATATATTTGGCGTTACTATTATGGTCTTTTATGGAATTCAAGGAAATGGAACTCCAGCAATCAAAGAAATAGAACTAAAATGTTTTAAATCCATTTTTACATGGCAGTAGGGAACTCTGTATCACTGAAAACACAATTGTTTTTAATGGAATCAAGTATTGCTAATATGGCTAATGTATGATTGAGTATTTTAATGTAGCCCTTTCTCAGTTTCGTTCTGGAACTGACCATTGCTAGTCTTTTCTTTTTTAAAGCCATTTTATAGCATTCCTACAATATGAATCCAAGTACTAGGCATTTAGTGATGTGGGTATTTCAGAACTCATGTTTTGAGAACTGATTTAATATAACCAACTAAGCTTTGTAAATTCCCTCTTTGTTTTCTTATTTCATAATGCTTTCCTCATTCTCTTTCCTATTCAATCCTATCAGCTTTCACATTCGACTCAAGTCATGCTGCCGAGAAAGGCTTGGCCTCTGACTACTCCAGGTATTTTCTGAGCCCCTAGAAGAGTTAGTTATTTTACAAAACACTTGGAATGTTACATATGAATAATCATGATGCAGTATTATAGTATTTTAAATGAAGCAACATGATTGAATATGCTTCAATATTTTAAAAATACTGATGTAGTATTTTGAGATCTGTGACTCAGAGGTCTAGCTTTATTTCAATGTTGACTTTAATAGTTATCATACATGGAAACCTATGGAATTTCTTAAATTCAAGAGAAAGATATCAAAAAGTATACTTATAATTATGTTATCAATTTTGTAAGAGTCATCAATATGGGCAAAAGATTTTGCAGACATTTTGTTAAAATTCAGTAAACTTACATCTTCCCTGGCCAATCAGTCTCATAACCTAACCATAAAAGTATTGTATTTGTTAAGAAGGTATTTTTAGGGGGCTGAGGGTTTAGCTCAGCGGCATAAGCACCTGCCTTGCAAGCAGGCAGCCGTGAGTTCAATCCGTGGTACCAATAAAAAAAAGAAGGTATTTTTAAACAGGTAATATATTTATATGTTACAATATTCAGGTGTGAAAAAATGAAGTCTCCTTTGTACCTCTGTTTTTGCTCATGGTTCTGCCAGCTCTACTCACACATGGGCATTTAGAAGATGTCTATATTATTTTCTGACTCATTTTATATTTACTTCAATACTGAATGCAGAAAGATATAAATGTCCTATGCTGTCCTGTATCCCTATCTTGTTTGATGGGAATTTAATTAGTTACTGCTTAATATGATGACTACAGTTATAATAATAATGTTTATGGGTCAAAGAGTACTCAAAACTACTCTTACATTTTACATAATCCCTTCAATTTTTGTTTTCAAAATCACTGACTTCTAGCAAGGCGCTGGAGCTTATGTAAGCCTCAGTATTGCAACCATCTGCTCTTAGACCTTCGGGTTCACCCCTGGGAGGCTAAACAGCTGATGCCTCCTTTAGTATCATTTTAGGCAATCAATGATAATGGCGGCTTTTCAGCTAAACAAAATTTAGTCAGATTAACATTTGCAATATTAACAAGGCAAGTACATTAGTCACGGTAGCATAAGTAAGGCACTACTAATTGTTAAATTCCTGCATTTCAGAAGTTTAATATGGTAGTTTATTTTTGGCTCATATTAAAGTCTGAGTTACTCATCTCACTAATGAAAACAACTGAAACGATAAACTCAGCAGATTGCATCCAATTATCAAATTCAAATATAGTCATTGGCTAAATTAAAAAAAAATTATCAGAGACATATTCTCCTCTCAACAGCAAGGTGACACACAGGAAATACTTCATAGTTAGTGCTCTCAGACATCCCCGAAATCTCACAGATATGGCTCACCGGTGGACTAATATGGCCGAGGCACACACAAAGTTGTTTTATGATCTAAGAAGTTTACCTACACTTTCAAGGCTTTTTTGCATACCCTTATAATCCATCTGAGCCAAACTACTTCCAGCCTTGATCTCTGTGTCACTGACTTTGGATCTCACATATCCAACTTAAACCCGCATACAAAATGTTACACATTTTATCTATTTCCTTGGCCAACTGCCTCTTGTTGGTTGTACTTGTAGGAGTGTGCCCTCTACATGTATCTCCACAACCCTAAGAAGGATGCCCCACTCAGCTGGATTGAGCCTCCACCATGAGCCATTTTCTAATGTTTCAAGAGTCAGTGTGAATTAAGATTTAGAATCAATTCACATAACCCTAGGGAGCCTTAGGTTACTCTATGCCTTAGGTTAATCTACGTTGATCCATATAACAACTAGTTTTAGGTATGGTATTTTGGGTAATCTTACATTCCCAGGGTCTAGACCACAGTAGGTACTCTTCTGTATTATTGGTTGATGGCTAAACTTCTAATAGATATTAAAAACTAATGGGTTGATCTAAAAGACACTGCACTTTCTAATGCCAGAGCCAACTGTAGAAAGGCATTCATTAAACATATAGACATTTATTCACTAGTAAGAACATAACTTGTGACTAGTAAGATCCCTAATTGCTTTAGTAATTTAGTTTAATATCCAAAGATTGTTTTAGAGAAATTCTTTAGGTAGGTGTTGGTAGGTCCGGCAGGAAAATCCTCCAGAAAGGACCTATCATCTGTCCTTCTACCATGCAAGAACTTTTTCCTATTCTTAGGAAACAGATGAAATTAAAAAGACCGGACTGAGGTTTATCTGGACACTTCACCAGAGACTGCCCCTCTGCACTGAGAAATGTCTTTGCCTAACTTATTAATGTCTAATGTTTTAGAAATCTTACTTTCTTATGACTTTAATAATTATTTTGATAAATGGGAGATAAAATTCATCTGTTTTAATCCTAATTCTGCTGACTACATTACTACATTTAACTGGAGTTACTACATAACTACATTATACTCGCCCACATAGGGAGAGTATAAACTGGTAAATTCACAACCAACTCTAAGTCTCTGGCATATAAAATGTCAAGGCTTAAGGCTTATTCTGGCCCTTATTGTTTTATGTAATCTGGGATTACTTAAAAATATAAACAAATGAGTTCAAAAGTGGGTCTTGACTTAATGATACATTTTTTTCTTCAAGTGTGTTTCTTCTCATAAGATGCCAAGACACTTCCTATGAGAGATACTCCACAGACATAGACAGTGTATCTCATAATTCTATTCAGTACTTATAGAATGTGGAATGTGCCTTAAAAGAAGCAGGATGTATTTCATATGCTGAGCATAAATGACCATACTATGTTCAGCAGATACAGAGATGTTGGTTTATTCAGCTGCCAGGCTGTGGGAAGACTTCTTTACAGAGTAAATAATAAAAATGTATTCATGAGTAAGGTACCTTTATGCGCACACACACACACACACACACACACACAGAGAGAGAGAGAGAGAGAGAGAGAGGAACATAATACGGATACAAAAACATCAATATACTTTAACTTTCAGATCTCTTCCATACTTCTTCATATGCCCTTAAAAAATAAAACAAAACAGGAACACTTTCTTGTAATGAGTTAAAAATCAACTTCATACAACATCTACATAGGAACAGTTTCTGTTATACTAACAGTATGGTATAGTTTCAGGTCAATAATTTCAAAAAGAAACTTCTTTTTTCTATACACCACAGTTTCTTCCTTTTCCCTTAAGACAAAACAACTAAAATACTCACCAGAAATACTCTCTTAAATTATAAACAGTCTTTTCTCTCCTTACACTTACTGTATATTTACAGATTTGTGATTCCACACTGCTTTTTTGATTCCATCTTATATATAGCATGCAATTATGTAAATAGGAAAAAATAAAACTAAAATAAAGAAGATATCTGATATGCTTTTAACAATCTGTTTTCTGATTCCCATTAGATGCCAAGTTATTCAGAATCACACAGGATTTATATTTTATCAGGGTATGTGAGACAATTTAATATTTTCATGCATTTTGTTTTATATATGTTGTTTCTAGGCACTGATTTTTATATATGTTAACTCATTTAAATAAACATTGCAAGATTTATTATAAGGGAACATACTGTTCCTCGGTCAGGCAGAAGAAAATCAAAAGCTAATCTCCTGAGAGACACAATGCCATTTAAACTCTAACTTCAGGTTGAGTTAGGCCAAGATTTTCTATAGAACCTTTCTAACTTTAAAGAACCATTTGTCATGGATGTAGAAAAGGGTATAAATTTCTGTCTTAGGAAACACTATATACATGGAATATTTTAATCTTCTGGTAGTTAATACTCAAAGCATGAGTTCTCTCTTAATCGTTTTCCATTCACCTTTTGAAATGTATTTGGTTCTTGCAAAACCCTGGGTGCCAAGACCCAGGAAATACATTCTTTACAGAACAGGATTCTGTTTAAACCCAAGGGATGACCTTACAAGCCAGTCTTGCTGAAGCCAGCCAGGTCTATAATACAGAATGTTCATGCTGTAACTGCAGGTTTTAGAGTAATGTAGGCTAGATTTAAGGCTTGATTTCCCTCTTCAAAAGAAACAGGAACTCTAGACTTTCCTAAACCTAGGAAAATATATAAGTGTAAATTCATACTTCTATCATTGTCTTTTCTGTAATGATCCAATTTCAGTATCTCCCTAGAAATGAACGTCAGAAAAGATTGTGCTCAGAAAGATTTTTGTGGGGGGTAGCCAACTTATTGCTTTCTATGGTTGAGCCCTACCTCTGTAATAGTTGTGTTGGTTGAGTAATAAAAAGAGTGATAGCCTACTTTTCCCTTATCATTAATTATCAGATGTCTAGTTGAAGTATATTCAGATAGGAAGAGCAAATTGGGGTAGGGAGAGTACCTAGTGTGGAGAATATTTAACTTATCTTTTAAAATATGGGCTCTTTTGCTTACTTCCTGGCAGCTTCATTTTATCCAGAGTTGGTCAGAAGGCATGTTTACAACGCACATTTTCTGTAGCTGAATTATCAAGCTCTTGGGTATATACTCAATATATGGCAGTATTTCTCTTGTCGGCGCATGGCATGGTCTGGTTGAAAACGCATAAGTTTTTCAATTATAGACTGTACAGTTTAACCCTTTCTTTTCTTTTCTTTTTTGGTACAGAGGATTGAACTCACAACTTTGCACTTGCCAGGCAGGCGCTTATGCCACTGAACTAAATCCCTGGCCCTTTATCCCTTTCTTAATTAGTAGCGTCAGAATATACCAGAACAAATGATGATCTTTATAGCGATGCAGTTAGGAGTCTGTTAGCTATCTTCTGGAAGCCAGTGCAGGAGTAAGTAGCATCAATAGGTTGTTTCCTAATCAATTTAGTTAGCCAGTCACAGCAACGACAACAGGTGAGTCTGGAACCTGGTCTAAGTATTCAGGTATGGGAGTAGCTTTACTCAATATTTGGCTTCATTGTTGGGTGGCAAGTTGCAGTGCTCCACTTAGAACAGCACAACCTCTAGAGAAGGCCAGGGCCTCTAAGGCATATTTGAAAAGGTGAGATTGGAGCAAAATTGAGAGGGGGTCAGTCAGGAATTGGTTCCGGTTAGGAACACCAGAGGATCAATGGAAGACTCTTAGACCTATGTCTTGGAAGTATGTGGACTGGTGTACTTGGAGCCAAGATATAACCAAGAGTTATGATTTAGGGTTTTGAAGCTATAGAGTGTTTTAAAAGGCCCTTCACTTGCCAGACAAGATGCTTTCAAGGTATGTTGCTAGGTTGGGTGCTATGGGTTCTTCTTCAGAGGAATCTCATTCTCCAGAACAGACAACATTTATGTGCCAAGGAATTTTCTTCCTCTGATTCACTTTCTGATTCTGTTAAGCAGTCAGGAAAAGGAGTTCTAGGACCTATTAGAATAAAACAGCGAGGAAGCAGAAAGAGTTAATAGTCTAAGCTAGCAGAACACGGATTAATACTGATAAATAGAAATGAGAAGTGAAAAATCATTCACCAAAATTAATTTGTCTGAGTCCATTACCCAGAGTCTATAAAATATACTTCAGGCCCATATCACTGCATAGTTCATCAAGAATATGTTGCACACTCTTCATTTAAAAAGAAAACATCTTAGTCCTCAGGACTAGTTCAGAGTGTAAAGTGTTAGTGACTTAACAGTGGTACAAGTCAGGGAGTATCACCTTCAAATCCTGGCTACTCAAGGAGAAGGTTCTTCACCTAGGCACTGGCTCAACTGGTAATGATACTATAAAGAGACACTTGGTACCCTCTGTTTCACTGGTAGTGATAATATGCTACTTGGTCACATAAAGAGCTCAGCAGTTGCTTGTTTGCCTGTTGGTGTACCAACTTTTGTGCAGTGGGTTAAAGAAGTCTGATGCACAAGGATACGATGTTTTTCCAGTGATTTAGTGGTTGGACTATCTAGAAATGTAACTTTCACCTATGAATAAGACTGGAGACATAACTAAAGCCTGAAACCACTACGTCAGATTACTGTCCATTCAACCCTAGGGTAGTCAACAGTACAGATGCTGAACAGAAAGCCTTATAGATCCTCCTCTACTTATATTGTAAGTCTAGGTCAATGGTCCTGTTAGGAATGGTTCTTACAATCACAAAAGTGGGTAAGAGTCTGGGACTGGGTCAGCTCATTTTTAAGTATGCAGTTCTCACCCAGAAAATTATTTCTGCAAAAGCAGACCTGTTATGCCCAAAACTCTAAATAAGGTTATAAGGTTATCATTTTACCTCTAGAGATGTGCTTGTGGGAATGTTAGGACTAGATGTTAGCATTCCTGCTGGGATCTCAGACATTGTAGTCATATACCCAATTTTATATGAGCTGTTCTAGAACAAGAAAAAAAATGCATGAAAACTGAATGATTGCTTCTAAGCATAAAACATTCATTTCAATCTAGAGGCAAAGAAAAGGCTCATTTTACTTGTAAAATGGTAAATATTCCTTAACAGAAACCAATAGTACTCTAAAGAAAAAGGAATGTTATCAACAGGTAAAGTTTATCTTAGAAAGACTAGCTCAAGTTCAGAAAATTTAAGCTTTAAAAATTCTTAAAATTTTTATTTTAAAAAGATTAAGACAAAAGAGGACAGAACAAAGCAGATCAGAATAGAACAATATAAGCAACACTAAGCTTTTAAAATTAAAGGAGAAAAAAAGGATAACTTTAATCTTTCATAGTTACTGTGAACACTGTTTTGTTTGTTTGTGGGGTGGGGGTTTGAATCCAGGGCCTGCACACTCACAGAACCCAGTGCTGTGATTACAAGGACACATACCACTACACAAGGCTTCCTGATAAATACTTACACATGCTTGAAAAGAACAAAACAAAACACCTCTACCATGCGAGAAAGAGATCCTTTCCAACTTTGTAAAGCTCATCTACCTTAAACTTGAAGCAATATGATCCTAAATGAAATTAGATATAGTCCCTTTAAAAGTGAAATTAGGTAAGGATGACCACAATGATTCAATACTGTCTGATATGGTACTGTACTGAAAATCCCAGTCAATGTGACAAATAAATGACAGCGGTATGAATTTATGCTCTCAACTTCTGTACCAGGAATTCTAAGTAGGAAATATATACCTTGCCAAAGGAAAAACAAAAAATCTCCAAAGCTACAGAAAATATAGCAACTAATCATATAAGATCTGGTAAGATGTATAAGATTAGAAATATTTCATGCTCCTGGATGGAATACATATAAAGGTACCAACTTTCTCTAAATTGTACAATAAAAAATTTAAAGAACTCTATACTTGAGCTTTATAGTTTATATGGTAGGAATACAATTCTACACACAAACCAACTGTTTAAACTCAAGGATAAAGGGAATTCTTGACTTTCAAATAGTAAGACCTATTATAAAAACCACAAGAATTAAAATAGGGTGAAATTAGCAGAACAAATAATCCAATAGAACACAGCAGAGCTTAGAAAGTCACATATAGTTTGAGAATATAGTACAAAATAAGGTTGGTACATATGGGAGGAAATTGCCATGTCTACATTTATTGGTGCTATTATTGGATACATATAGATGAAGAAAATTTAAATTTTATACCTATATAATGTCATGTATAAAGGAGAAGGGATACAGTAGAATGGTTAAAACTTCAAGTTACTCAAACATAATATAGTAGAATACCTTTATGACTTCAGTTCAGGGAAAGACTCCTTTAAAAAATGCATGACCAAAAAATGATTAGTAACACGAAAATTAATAACTTCTGGACTGACTGACCTAAAGATTATCTTTTTTAAAAAACTAATTACAAACCAATTTTGTAAGAAGATAGCAACTTCATAGGGTTAGGCTATCGCTTAGTGGAACAGAACTTGCCTAGCAAATGTGAGGCCTGCCCTAGGTTTGATTTTCAGCACTGCAAAGAAAAACTATGTAGCAATTGCAATAAAAAATGAAGGACAAGAATATCTAATTAACAGAGAAAATCTATGATCACAGTATGCTATCAGTTGATAAAAATGAGAAAGCTAGGAAAGTATTAATGAGTTCCCTTTAGGAACTGACAATGCTGATGGGAATGTACACAGTGGAAACAAGTATGAAAAGAATCTGGTAGCAGTACCTAGCTGAACTATCTTTTCGTCATAATCTAAGATTCTGAGCGTAGGGCAAACAAATTCTTCATAAGAACAACATATAGTAGGATACACTTTCAAGCTTCATCAGTGATAATTAAGAGAAGTACTCTATGTTTCCATTAGTGGAAAAGACAATAGATAAAATGTGGATAGAAGCAAATCAGAAGAAAAAGTAGCAACATGGTCAGACTTTAGGGTATAACACTAAAATCAAATACAAGTAGTGCTACATGGCCTTTATGGGTGGTTTCTGATCAGGAAATTTCTTCTAATGAATATTTTCTGGTTTCCATGCATTCTATTTATATATTTCAGTTCCTAGCACAATGTTTGGCTTGTACTAGGAGGGATCTTTAAGTATATCTGAAAAAATTCATGAGAGAATGATTAAGGCCCACAGTAAATAACTACACTACGTTTAAACCATATTGTTTAAGGAGAGTAGTCCCAAATTATATTCTGATGATTTAATAATATGCTACACAAAGACAAGTGAAACAATTTTTAAAGTAAAATCAACAAAGATGATGCTATGATAGCAAAACAAAGGAAATTGCTAATAACTTTGTAAATTATGAATATAAACATTTTTAATTTCAGCTTTCAAGATTACATGGTTTAACTGGAAAAGCACATACTAGCCTGTGTCACACATAGAAAAGTTTTTATTTTTTTCCAAATCATGAGAACAGGTTGGTTTTTAATTATTTTGTCCTCTTATATTTTATTGTTTTCATTTTAACCAGGTTGCAGCTGCAAAATTAACTTGTTACACTTCAGTCATGATGTTACTCAAAGCACTCTTTAAAAGTCTTATTTTACTTTTAAAATCAACAATAAAGTCTAGTGATAGGCACACATAAATTCTAGACATATGACATAACAGTAAGTCGAATGTTTTTCTTTTTTTACATTCCAGGTATGTCATTTTCCCACACCAGAACAATCACATTTACTCTATATACTTAGATGTATAAGTTAACTTTACAGAATGGCAGCTTTGAAATTTTGGAAATTGACAACCCTAAATTTGACAATTCTTCAGTTATTTCTTGAAGTTCGACAAGAAGAGGAATAAATTCACTCCCACAATCACTATCATTTATCTTTCCATTCCACAACATTAAAAGCAAAAATCAAGAATCAAACAAATTTTTTAGCCATGAGATGTTTAAATTTAATTCAGCGTCTTCCAAGTTAAGAAAAATATAGTTAGGCTGACCTCTAGTGGCCAGATGACTCATCCTTTAGCAACTGACAAAGTACTATGAAGTTTCTCATTGGTGGGTGAGATAGCCAAAAAAATATAGTAAAGAAATAATTCTATTTGTAATTTAGTAACATAGCAGATGTAGTAAGCACCTAAAGCATATAAAGAGGAGCAGTTAAAGCCCAGAAAAATGAGAAATACGTCACCAAATATGTGACTTTACATTAAAAAATGATACATTTGGAGGTTCTCAAAATATGAATAGTTCTGTGCTGCTCAATACTACGATGATTACTAGCCATATATATCATTGAACACTTGAAATGTGGCTAGTGTAAATAACATCTACTTTACAAGACTTGAGAAAAAGAATATGTAAATTATTTCAATTTATACACATTGTTTACATGCTGAAACATTCTGAGCATATTTGGTTAAAAAATAATGCTCTTTCTATATTTCTCTTTCACCAGAACTTTCTAGGCATTCCACTTTATAGTGTTACTATAAATGTTACCAGTTTATTACATATATTCTCAGACTTTTATGCTTTTGCTCTGGTAGATTAACCTGAATTCACCTTTTGGTCTTTTCTGAAATTAGACATTTTAAATCCAAAACTACAGACAATCAAATGCTATCATGTCCATAATTTTAGCATTTGAATACCTACACAATTCCAGAAACTAGGAAGACGAAACAAAGAGAATTATGGCACATTTATCCGACAGAAGCCTACAATAAACTGTCTGGACCTCAGTTAGTTGATCTTAAGACTGAAGCAGGGTGTGATGGCACCCTCCTGTAATGTCAGCACTATGGAAGGCTAAATTAAGAGGACAGCAAGTTTGAACCCAGCCTGGATAACTTAGGGAGTTAAAATAACAACAGGCTGGGGATATAACTCAGAGTAAAGGCGTTTAGTTCATTCTCCAGTGTTAACACCAAAAATAAATAAATACTGAAGTTATCTTACGGAGTTGTTTGTAAAGATTAAATAAAAGTTCTTGGAATGGTGTCTGGCAAATAAGAGCCAACCAGGAATAAATTACTATCCCATGTAAGTATGAATAAATCTAAAAACCCTTATTATCTGAAATCAACTGTGCTTATGATTATTTAAACAGTATAATTTATTCATTTAGAACTTTATTCAGATAGCTACTATATAAACATTTGTATAGTGAAAATTAACAGTAAATATTAACAGTAAATCAACCTGCGTGGCAACATAATTTGAAAAGAAAAAGGTGTGGTTTTTGGTTTTGTTTTCTTTTTTTTTAAGGTGTGCAGTTTTGCAATGTCTTATTTTTTGAGCTGGTGGTGATACAGAGTGTAGCTGGAGGAAAAAGTAGCTTCCCTCCACTCACCTCTTTCGTTGGGTTATAAACCGATGTAACACATTAAACAGAGAGAAACAGCATATTTACTCGTGTTCTTAGAAAAAGTACACAAAGCTAGAAGGACGGTGAGATAACAGAAACTTACATTCCAAACTGAACAGCAGAAAGGAATCGAGCCTTGGGGCTTCGGGCCCTGGGGTTTCTGCGGCAGCAGCTGTGATTTGACATACGAAAGGGTCAGGAGAGGAAGTGTATGGTGAATAAAACTTGATAGGTCACGCAGCTAAGATGCCCAGCAGCAAAAACTGTCTGGGAGCAGCCCTCTTCCTGATACAGACACTTTACTAATGCAGATTTTTTTTCATGTCTGTAAACGTCTTCTACAAAACGTCAGCTTTTCACAGGAACGCTTGTGTTTTCAGGTTTTCAAAACAGCCAGCCCAATTTATGCCAAATATGTATCTTTCGGGGTGTCAGATTCTGGAGTGGTGTGTGCTGAGCCTCAACAACGTTCGTTTTGATCAGAGAATTTCATATTTCATAAAAAATTTCAAGACTTAGTTCTTAGTCTTATTTCAGCGACGACCCTGAAAACTCTTCCACTCTCTATTTCCGTCTTTGTTTACTACAAGCGTCTGCATACATGCCTGCAGAGCAGGGATGCAGAACTGGCATATTCAGAACCAACTGCAGCAAAATTCAATTGCACTTTTTTGCTCAGCAGTTCCCAGGCCGCCCTTCAGGGCGGGGCCGAAGGCCATCTCCACCAGAACTGGGAAAGGACCCCGCCGCAGGCCTCGCTCCCGCTTCTCCACGCCTCCCCAAGCCTGTCCTTCCTCTCAGGATCTTCCGCCCTTGTCCCTCCAGCTGGAGCAGAGATTTTTCCCTCAGTATATTTTCTGCTCTCACCAGGAAGGATTCTTTCCGCGTTTTCACCTCCCACCCAGCGGTGCAACTCTGTCACATCTAGCGCCTGCAGCCCTGTCCCGAACTTAGTGCCTCTTCTCCTGGATGACTTCACTTCCGGCTTTAGCACAGCCACTTCCTACCGGGAAACAAACAATTTGACGCAGCCTACGCGCATGCGCTCAAACAGCGGGGTCTGATAGGGGCGGAGCCCTCTCTTCCCGCTTCGGCTCCCGGGCTTTTGCGAAGTTCTCGCGGCATTTCCTTCTCTTGCGAGAATTGTTTGAAAGCTTTGGCGGTAGCCTAGTCGTGCAGGCGCCAGGGCGGTCTCCCAGGATTTTGCGGAGACTGGGGACCTGGGCTTTGGGGCGATTCCCAGTGCTCATCCAGGCGCCATGGGAGCAGAGAAGAAGCTGCTGCCGGTCAAGGAGGCCTTTCGCCTGTCTCAGCAAGCACACCAGAACCAGGCGAAGCTGGTGGTGGCGCTGAGCCGCACCTACCGCACGGTAGGCCCAGGTGCAGGCCCCCCGGGGAGCCCTTCGGGGCTGGCTATTTAGCGACCTGAGGTTTGCGCTCCCCGCGGCGGTGCGGGTAGTTAACTCTCAGGCCGTGGCAAACTCTAGCCGAGTAGTCACCGAGCGCGGAGCCCGAGAACGCGCAGTTAGCGGAGATTTCCCCTCGGGTCTCCGCCCACAGCCCAAGAGCCAGCTGTCACCTTATTCCTTCTTTGTCCCACTGTTACCAGTTAGCAAATCCAGTTACCAAATATCTAATTGGTCACTAACACCTGGCCCTTCCTGTTCGGGTAAATGCTCTGTGAAGGTAGCCGCGGGAAGAATGGGATGAAATGTGGGCAAGATACATTATCTTACTGTAAAAGAAGACGGTATTGATTTTGAGGTGTTCTGAAGGAGCGTACTTTTATTACACTGACACTAAAGGCAAACTGAGAATTCAGACATCTAGAACGGTGGAAGGAATCCTCATCGCCGAAATACGTGCTTGTGTACATCAGAAGGAGTGAATAATAACCTGGAGAGAAATTCGTGTGGACTTATTTATTTGTCTCCCTTTTACCTGGTTTGGATAATTTGGGAGTTTATTAGTGCAGTTTGTGAGGTTTGTTTTGTCTTTCAGGCGGATGATAAAGCAGTTTTTCATGAAGAGTTCGTACGTTGCCTTAAATATGCGATGGTGATCTATAAGCGTGAACCAGCGGTGGAGAGGGTCATAGAATTTGCAGCAAAGTTTGTTACTTCATTTCATCAGTCTGATGTGGAAGACGATGAGGATGAGAAAGATGGTGGCATTTTAAATTATTTGTTTACTTTTCTCTTAAAGGTACTGTGAAAAGTTCCATGAAATGTCTGAATGTTTTATAGGAAATCTTTACGTGTCGTTAAATTGAAAGGTGGGCTTTATCAGCATTAAACTTTTGATGGTCTCTTTAAGCCAGTTCTCAAGTTGTAAATGAGTTATTTTAGAAAAGTTCCTACAAAGAGGAATATGTTTTTGTAACTTAGCAAATACTCTTTTCAGACTGAGACTATAAAGATATATTTAGTATGTATATGCAGAGTTCAAGTGATAGTATGTAGTCATGTGATGTTATTGGGACTTCTGATTTTTTTTTTTTTTAAGCATCATGAAGCAAACAGCAGTGGAGTCAGATTTAGAGTCTGCCAGCTCATAAACAAACTTTTGGGAAGTATGCCAGAAAATGCCATGATTGATGATGATTTGTTTGATAAAATTAATGAAGCCATGCTAATAAGATTGAAAGATAAGGTTCCAAATGTGAGGACACAAGCAGTTCATGCTCTTTCACGACTTCAGGATCCCAAAGATGATGAATGCTCCGTGATTAATGGTGAGTGTAGCTTTCTAAACCTCTTCAGTTTTGTTGATTTTGTTAACTTCTTAGTAGTTGAATGCTTTGTTATGAACTATATATATTGATGAGTATAATACCCATGTAACAATCATCCAACTTAAAAAATACTGTTCATTATCAGTCTGCCTTGCATCTCATCCCATTGCATCCCTGCTCTTATAGGTAACTGTTACCTTGACTTTGGAATTAATTATTCTCTTCTTTATTAAGGTTTGGTTTACTATTTTATTATTTTAATGTTAGTTGTCCCTTTAGTTGTTTCCGGTTACTTTGCTACTTAAAACTGTTATTACCAATTTTCTTACTATGTGGTTATGTTATTGGATTATGTATTTACTAAAAAGGTTTATAGATTTTTTTATTATCAAGTGTTTGTGCATAATTATATGTGTTATGCTTTTTTATCAACTGCAAGTGCTTTGAATTTGCTTAGACCAGAATCACCACAAATATGAGTAATGCATTGCTATGTGATGTTGCTGCAGCTGTCACTACATAATAGAACCTTTCAACTCCATTATAATTTTATGGGTCCACTGTTATATGCAGGCATGGTTGTTTCTGTATGATGCCTGTTAGTGTGTTTTGGCCATGTTCCCATTAAGCTTTTATTTTAAGATAGTTTTAATTGCTATTTTGGAGTTTTTATATATTCTGAAAGGAAATCCTTGGGTATTAATGAGTTATAGCTCTCTTGCTGCTTTAGATGCTCATTGTTTTATTCAGATTATGTATGTATTGGGCGTCTTGTTGAACAGAAATGCTAATGTCAAGAGTTATTTTACCTGTGGGGTAAAAAAGGCAGTCAAACTTTTCTGTAGGTGCAAGGTATATTTTGGATATTCTTACGTTTTACTTTTTCCTTTTCTTCTGTTACCAGTTTTGTAATCAGTTTTGATGGTTTAAGTAGTTGATATTTTGGAGTATTGAACGACAGTAATGTATGTGTGAAGTAGTGAGCACATCCTAGATAAAAGTGCAGACAGTGTGACAAGTTCAGGTAAATATTTAATGGCATGCAGTGGGTATAAACTGCCCATGATAGTAAACTTTTTTGGACTATGAGGATTGGTTTCAGTTTTAGCCTTCATTCCCAGTCTGCTAATTTTTCATTCTGTTCTTAAGGAAGTTTGTGAAAATATTTTTTAGCTAAAGATTTAAAGTATGAGTAAAACACGATATCTTTATCATTTTAAAATATCTAAGCATGGACTGTTTTAACTTTTAAGAAGTTCTTTAGTACTAAAAGGTATTACTCTATTTTTAGCATATATTACTTTGATTGAAAATGATTCAAATCCAGAAGTAAGGCGGGCAGTATTATCATGCATTGCACCATCAGCAAAGACTTTGCCAAAAATTGTAGGGCGCACCAAGGATGTAAAAGAGGCTGTAAGAAAGCTGGCTTATCAGGTAAGTAAGTCCAGCATATTGTATAGGCATATTCTTAAAAGATAAGAAACCATTTTCCTAATTCTTGAAATACATTTAGCATATAGTAATAACTTCTTCACTTAAGATTACTGTGGGGAATATAGGTAATTTAAGTAAAACTTTATTTATTAAACATATTCACAGGTATTAATTTTTTTCCAGAGAACCCTATTTTATTTGTTTTTTTAAATTTTTAAATTTAGTTTTATTGGTACATTTTAGAATATACAATGATTACAGTCATCAGAAGGAATTTATACCTGTGCATAATATATCTTGATTCTTTTTTCCCCAATCCCCTCTTCTCCCTTCAACCACTCTTCCCTTGCTTATTTATAAAAGCTTTGAGTCCATTTTTTTCCTTTTGCTTTTTCCTTCTTTCCTTTTCCCCTCTTCCCTCCCTTGGTCTCCTTCCCATTTGAACATTTCCTATTTCCCAATATCTGTTATACTTTTTTTTTGAGACAGGGTCTTGCTATGTACTTTAGGTTGGCCTTGAACTGTTTAGCCCAGGCTAGTCTCGAACTTGGGGTGTTCCTCCTATATCTGCCTCCCAGTGCTGGGATTACAGGTGTGCGCCACCATGCCCCACCTCTAATCTACATTTTGGTCTTTATTTACTCTTGATTTCTCACACCAAAAAAGCAGTGTGATATTTAAAATGTGTGTGTGATTTATTTCCCAGAAATGTCTCAAGTTTATCCCCTTTTGCAGAATAGTACTCTATTGTATTTTTTTAAAAAGTATCTTCTTTATCCATTCATCAGTTGATAGGCATTTGGGCTGTTTCCAAGATTAAGGTGGCGCAAACTGTGCTGCTATAAAAATGGGTGTGCATATATCGATGTAGTATGCTTTCAGTTCTTTCTAAAAGATAGCAAGAAAGGGAATAGCTGGGTCAAGTGAAATTTGTTTTAGTTTTTTGAGGGGCCTCCAAACTGATTTTCACAGTGATTGCACCAATGTACACTCCTACCAACAATGGAGATGGTTCCTTTTTTCTCAAGCCCCAGCAGCATTTGTTATTGGTTGATTTCTTGGTAATAGCCATTCTCTCTGGAGTGAGATGAAATCTCAGTATTTTTTTTAATATTGTTTTAATTTGCATCTCAAATGACCAATGATGTTGAACATTTTTTGATATATTTGTTGTTTTTACTTCATCAGATTGGGTCTTTAAGTTTGGGGGAATCTGGTTTTGTTTTTTTTTTTTTTAGTTCTTTATAAATTCTAGATATTAGTCCTTTGACAGATATTGACTTATTTGCATATTCTGGTTAATTGTCTTAAGTGCTATATTATTAGGTAAAAAATAAATTGTATTGATTTAATGACCATGTTTTTATTTTTTAAGATTTTAGCTGAAAAGGTTCATATGAAAGCTATGTCCATTGCTCAAAGAGTAATGCTTCTTCAACAAGGTCTTAATGACAGATCAGGTAAAATGTACATCTTTATATACAAAGTTTAGTAGATTTTCAAGTTGTATTAAGCCTGTGATTCCCATGGTTGGTGAAACTCATCTTGATGTATTATATAGAAAGGACCTCAGGAGATTAAGGATCTTGGTATTTTGAAGAAGCAGAGCTTATTTCTTTCACCTTCCTGTTTCACAGATGGAGAAACTATACTTAAGCCTACGGAGCTAATCTGCTTATAGGAATGATACAGGATTCCCATGGGAAGGCCAAGATGTCTCATTTTGCTATAGTAACGAGACTAACTTGAGTTGAAAACATTGTCAGAGCACTAATAAGGAGAAAGACCTTATATCTAAGAATAAGATTTGTTCAATGATTGTTTATAATCTTTTGTGATTTATTATTGCAGATAGCAATGGGGTAGTAAATGAAGCCAGACATTATATGATCTGGGCTAACACCTGAACCGAGGGGAGAGGGAATACAAAGACTTTTGTATGCTATTGCAGTACTTGAGTATTTAGTGCTAAACCCCTTACATTTATTTGGAAGTGAGTGTCACTGTCACTTTTGCAAAACAATTGCCTGATTGCTTTGAAACTTAGCAAATTTGGTACTTGCTTCATTTGTGAAAATT